TCACCCTCTTTAATTTTGATGCCCTAAGCTCTAAATTAATAATTTGATACCCCAAAGTCTTCAAATTCCCGTTAATTTGATAATTTAATACCCCGAACCGCTAACTTTTTTCCGCACTTTCCCAAGCAAAAAAAAAATCTAAAAAAAACTCATACTTGGTAAGAAAACTGAGTGTCATTGAATTTTCTATGTTCATATTCCGGAACTTCAGGTATAAAGTTGTTTCCAAAAAAAATTTAAAGTAAACTGCAAAGCTAAAAAAATTTAGCACCAAACTAATCTCAAACTTACAATTCGAGCCGCATCCCGAGGCACTGAAGGTACGAACAGTACGAATACCGCAAGTGCGTCTCCATCAAAAGATCGATCCCGTCCCTTCTCGACGGCGAGCAACGCTCGATCTGGTCCCTCGACATAAAGTCCGCCGCAACGGCGGCCGCTTCCGCCGTCGCCTCCTCCGCCGGCGGTCCTCCGATGAGCATCCATTCTCGAACTCTCATCGGGCCGCTCCTCTTCAGAGGCGGCGCGGCCGAGATCGTATCGGGATCGACGAAGGCCCGATCTCGATTCTGCTTCCGCGGGTAGAAAGGGAGGAGAGCTCTGCTAGGGTTAGGGTTGTACTGGGAGCGGCGGCCATGGCGGGGGCCGTGAATCTGTAGTGGTGATGGTGGTAGGGTTTTGAAATTAGGATTCGGATCGATGATCGGGGGTCGACGAGATCGAGAAAAAGACATGGCGATCAGAAGTCGAAGTTTTTGAGGGAAATGAGAATCTGAGGTTTGAGATTTGGGAGGGGAGATAGGGGAAGGATTGATTTTTCTTTGGGAGGATTATTTCATGCGAGGGGGGGGGGGGGGGGGGGGGGGGTGGTTAGGTTTGGGAGGATAATATGCGTAACGTGACGGGAGAAAAATATGGGGACAGAGAGACGTTGGAGCCAAAGGCACGCCGTCCCAGGGGTACTTGTGGTAAATCATATGTCAGATTGACCTTGGTCCGTGTCGTTATAGGGTTATTTAGATATTAGTCCCTTAAATCTTCGATAATTTCATATTGCCCCCACAAATCCTGAAAATTGCTCATTAGTCTCTCAAATCTTAAGGGGCTTGAAATTTGATCCCTCAATGACCAAAATATCCTTGCCTCTTTCTTATTCAACTTGAATCCCATGAACCCAACTTCCACTGCATTTCCTCTCAACCGCCTCCCGACTACCCCCCTTATCGCTAGCTTCCTCCCTCTCTGACTCAATCTTTATCCTTTTGCCCGAGATTCGGGGAAACTCTTATCTTGTCTAAAATACTGAATTGAGATCGACAATATAAGGTGAGGGTTATCTAATGGGTGAACAACAATTGATGTTATGGAGCAACTAGCCTAGTTGTCTCGTCTCGAATAGAAGGCTTAATCTTCATATCATACTCCAAGAGTACTCAAGAAAGGTCAATTATGTGCTCTTTGTTTAGAAAGAGTTTATCAAATAGGCTTCTAAATAAAGATGGTGTAGAATTAGCGGTTCTAATAAGTAAATAGTATGAGGAAGAGACCGGCAGCGAGAAGAATTTGTTAGAGGCAAGGTAGGTAGGAGGTTGTGGCGGATGTTGTGTTTAAGGGTTTTTTTTTACCAAATTTCAAGCCCCTAAATATTTGAGGGACTAATGAGCAATTTCCAGGATCTGAAAGAGTAATACAGAATTATTGAAGTTTTTAAGGAACTAATATTTAAATAACCCTTTATTATAATCAGTTATTTAGCATTAGCCTCTTAAATATTTCGTGATTTCATATATTAGCCTCTCAAACCTATCCATATGGCTTTTGGAATCTTGTCACTCTTAGGGCCTGTTTGGATTCGTAGGGGGTGAAGGGAAGTTAAGGGAAACTGAGTGAAGGGAAGGGAAGGGAAAAGAAGGGAAGGGAAGGGAATTCCCTTCCCCTTGGTTACACCCCAATTTGGGGGGTAACAATTTTTATACTATTAGGGGGTGAACCAAGGTGAATGGAGGTGAATTAACTTCACCTCCTAAGTGTTCCCAAACAAGGTGAATGGAGGTGAATGGTTCCCCTAACTTCCCTTCACCCTCATTCCCCTCAATCCAAACAAGCCCTTAGTTTTTTTGTTAGTTTCTCTATGGCTAGGATTAATTCTTATCCAAATATCTGCAATTACCTAAATACACATCGGTGCATGACTCCCTCTCAAAGAACCTAAGGCATCAGTTTGAAGATAAAAGAAGCCTTGCAACATAATTTAATATGTTGAAAACATAATCTCTATCACTTAAAACATTGGAGAGGAGAAAGAGATATGGAATAGAGGGAACTTCGGAGAATTATATGGATTTTAGAGAGAATTTTACTGTTGAAAGAGCTCACATATGATTTTAGAGGGTTTAAATGAACGTGATTGTATTTGGGTTCCATTAATGTCATGATTCAGATATGTTTTATAGTAAACTTAAAAAAAAATAAAGAATTGAAAAGTTCTAAAATTAGCATATGTACATCGTCCTTAGGAAGAAATTCTCACGTTTGCATAATTGTGGTTATCTAAGTGCAAGTTTTAAAAAACTTTAGGATATAAAGTACTATAAAAAATAAGTGATGGTATACAAGTGCGACTTTAAAGACTTTAGGGTGTCTAAATACTGCCAAAAAGCAAGTGATGGTACTAAGTGCATACTAGTGGAAATATAGGGCGTTAAGCCTTACATAGACGCTATTTTGCTTTGGGACCCTAAAAGCTTTAAGGGGCTGTTTGGTACGCTGCAACTGGAGTGGTTGCAACTCCAGTTGCATGCAACTAGGTCCAATTTGACTAGTTGCATGTGTTTGTTTTGCTGCAACCCACAGTTGCAGCTGCAACCACAGTTGCAAAACAACCCTTAGTTGCAACATATGACTTACGTCAAAAATGGCCGCAAGTCATAGTTGCAACTTAGTTGCAACTGACCTAAATTTATTAAAATCAAAATCATTACTTAATATTTTAAAAATAAATTCATTTAAGGTTTAAAATAATCTTTTAAATAATTCTTATTATAATAATTTCTTCAAAAACGTTTTTAATAAAAAACAACATCAATCTTTTAAAATAATTATTATTATAATAATTTCTTCAAAATAATATGTTAGTTTTAAAAGTAATATATTATCTTTAAAATAATATATTATTTTTTAAAATAATATTTTTTTAAAAATAATATATTTTTAAAATAATATATTTTTTGAATAATATATTTTTTCTAAAATAATATATTTTCCTAAAATAATATATTTTTTGAAAAATAAAATTTTCCAGGAATACTATTATTTTTCTAAAATAATATATTTTTTGAATAATATATTTTTTATTAATATATATTTAAAATAATATAATTTTCTAAAATAATATATTATTTAAAATAATCTATATTTTTTNATATTTAAAATAATATATTTTTTGAACAATATATTTTTAAAGTAATATGTTTTTTGAATAATGTATTTTTAAAATAATATAATTTTCTAAAAATAATATATATTTTAAATGATATGTTATATTATTTTTTAAAAATATTATATTAACTTTTAAAAATATATTATTTGTTAAAAATATATTATTTTTTAAAAATATATTATTTTTTTAAAATATATTACTTTTTAAAAAATATTATTTTTTAAAAATATTTTATGAGTTGCATATGTTAAGTTATAAGCATAATCAAACAACTGCAACTATAAGTTACAAAATTTAAATTTTAAACCAAACAATTACAACTGTAGTTGTATGTAAGAAGAGTTGCAACGTTTCAGTTGCATGCAAGTGACACTTGCATTGCAACTCTAGTTGCAAACAACCAAACGCCACCTAAGTGCAACTAAGCCTTGCGTAGAGGCCATTTCGCTTTGGGACCCTGAAAGTTCTTATTTCATTATACTTTGACAAGTGTTATGCCCATGCTTGTATGGATTAGTGTGATTTCGCATTTATGGGTGTTTTTTTAATCTCCTTTTAGTTATTCTTCTAAATTGTGTAATAGTAAAACTCCTTTTCTAGCCTTTTTGAGTTGTATTACACTGAAACTCCTTTTTCTAGCCTTCTGCTACTTTTTTTTATTGTTTATATACTCCACTTTCTTTTGAATATGAATAGACCAATGATTTATACCAATCACATTTGCTATATCCACTCCCAAACAGTAATTTTGGGAGTTGGATTGTCAAAAATGCCCTTTTGTTGCCCTTGTGTTATTAAATGCCTTTGTGTTATTAAATGCAACGTAATTAATACTCGATTTTAGCACTAACCGGATTTGTTTCTTGGGATATGTTGTGTTATTAAATGCAACGTAATTAATACTCGATTTTAGCACTAACCGGATTTGTTTCTTGGGATATGTTTCTTAGTAAATGAGATCCATAACAATTTTCAACGTAATTAATACTCGATTTTAGCACTAACCGGATTTGTTTCTTGGGATATGTTTCTTAGTAAATGAGATCCATAACAATTTTTACGATTTGAAACATTGACTGCAACGTAATTTGAAACATTGGTTATGCATTTAAGTAAAAATAACAAACTAACACTATTATTTAATTTTTACGATTTGAAACATAATTTTTACAATGGATCTCATTGACTGCAACGTAATTTGAAACATTGGTTATGCATTTAAGTAAAAATAACGATTTTAGCCACTAACCGGATTGCGAATTTTTATGGTGTCCGGTTGGCTTCGAATTCCGATTTTGAATTTTTATAACAATTTTCATTTCCAATACAATTTTCATTTCCAATACAATTTACACAAATTACATAAAATCGTTTTTTTCAAAAATTGTTTTTTTCAAAAATAAATTACACCACTCAGAATTTTTTACTAATTTGATTTGAGCACTCAAAATGTCAAAATTGATTTTGACCTCTTAGATTTTTACCTATAAAAAGGCCAACAGTTTAAGTTTTTCAAATCACACTCACAACTCAATCACTTACAATTACAATCACAAACAATATGAATTCTGGAGATTACAACTCCATAAATCTTGATGAAGTTGAATTCGTCATCGACGAAACACAAAGTGATCCATTCCAGGATCATAGTTCATATGTAGAGTTTGAAGACATTTCAACCGATTTCGGTAATCCGGAAGGAGGTTTTGCTAGTAGAGAGGACATGGATGCTCATGTAAGATATGTTGCTGGCTTGAGGAACGTTACTTTGGCAATTCGTGATTCGAAGGGAAAAGACGGCCGACGGCCCAAAGTTCGATATTTATGTAGCCAAGGTGGCGGATACAGACCAAAAAAGGTTACTGGAACTAGGTCCACTAAAACGACAAAAAATAATTGTCCATTTTGGTTGGACGGAATGGAGTACCCTGGAGGGCGCTGGTACTTTGAAGTCCGGGAGGGGAGACACAACCATCCATTCCCGTCTCATGCTGTGGGATCTCGTTTAGGTAAAATATCCCCTATTCAACTTGAAGTTATTAGGGAGCAAGAGAATTTTAATTTAAGCCCGAGTAATATGTTGGCGTCCATGAAAAGGGCTGATCCGGAGAACAAATCGTGTCAGAAACAAGTTTACAATGCTGTCAGTAAGGTGCGTGCCCAGAAAAGAGAAGGTCGGACCCCGATGAATAATTTCATCCATTTACTCAGGCAATTGAACTACATGTACGACGTTCGGACTGCTGATGAATCTTCCGAACTTGGAGATATTGTTTTCTGCCACCCGGCTTCTTTTGTGATGGTGAATGCATATCCGGAAGTCATGATGATTGATTGTACGTACAACACCAATGAGTATGACATACCTCTACTAGAAGTGGTCGGTGCAACAAGTACGGACAAAACGTTCACTATCGCCTACGCATTCATGCGAAATGAGAGACAAGAAAACTACAGGTTTGTGTCTTAATGAATTTTAATTTTTTTTCATATGTTTAAATTTAAAATTGTTAATTAACATTATTTAGTACAATTGTTTGTCAATGTTATGAATAATGTTAAATTGAATATTTAGGAGGAGTTAATATTGTTATGAACATTATTAGTATTGTTTAATTAGGAGTTATTATTTTTATGAACATTATTAGAATTGTTTAATTAGGAGGAGTTATTATTTTTATGAACATTATTAGAATTGTTTAATTAGGAGGAGTTATTATTTTTATGAACATTATTAGAATTGTTTAATTAGGAGGAGTTATTATTTTTATGAACATTATTAGAATTGTTGAATTAGGAGTTATTATTTTTATTGGAACATTATTAGTATTGTTTAATTAGGAGTTATTATTTTTATGAACATTATTAGAATTGTTGAATTAGGAGTTATTATTTTTATTGGAACATTATTAGTATTGTTTAATTAGGAGTTATTATTTTTATGAACATTATTAGAATTGTTTAATTAGGAGTTATTATTTTTATTGAACATTATTAGTATTGTTTAATTAGGAGTTATTATTTTTATGAACATTATTAGAATTGTTTAATTAGGAGTTATTATTTTTATTGAACATTATTAGTATTGTATAATTAGGAGTTATTATTTTTATGAACATTATTATATTGTTATTTTTTTATTGTTATATTGTTTAATTAGAACTTATTATAGTATTATTAGGAGTTGTTACTGTTATGAAAATTATTATATTGTTTAATTAGGACTTATTATAGTATTATTATTGTTATTAACATTGTTATTGTAGTATTGTCATTAATATTGTTATTATGTTAATTTGTTGTTATAAATTACAATTGACAATTATTTAGTACAGTTATTTTGTCCTACGTTTAAATTTAAAATTATTAATGTTATATTATTTTGCAGGTTTGTGTTACAGTTTATCCGTACTTTGTTCGTTAGCCAAGTGACACCTAATGTCATTGTAACAGACCGAGATTACGCCTTGATGCATGCTGTCGAGTATGTTTTCCCGGAATCCAGGCATCATTTGTGTCGCCGTCACATTGAGCAATGCGTGCTACAACGAGCACTGCAGCAACCTGGTTTTTTAAAAGAGGCGGCAGAAGGATTTAAATTTCGTTGGAATTGGGCGATAAGTGCACCGACCATAGATGACTTTAATGATAGATGGGGACGTCTGGCAGCACATTACTCGAATTGGGGAGCATTGCTGAACTACTGCATTGACACATGGATTAGTCCGCATTCCCAAAAAATCCTGTCAGCTTACATCGACCACTATTTTCACTTCGGAAGCTACACAACAAATAGGTAAGCCTTGTGAGATTTACGTGACTAAATAATCGTTACATGTAGTCAACATTAATAATTAATATTCAAGTTCAATTGGTAATGCAGGGTCGAAGGAGAACATCATCGCGTCAAACGACATTTAGATGGTGGTCGGTACCCATTCGATACCGTACTGGAGAAACTTCACAAGGTGATGGAAGGCCAAATCTGTGAGATTAAGAAAGTAGCGAGAGTTAACGCTACTAAATCCAACACAGACACCCTTGGAGATACGTTGTTTGTTAATCTGAACAGATCAATCACGTTTAAAGCATTCGGCCTCATAAGGAAAGAAATGCAAGTTTTACAAGAAATGGGTCAGGATCCAACAACGTGTGGTTGCTACCTAAGGAGAACTCATGGTCTACCGTGCGCACATGAGCTTCAGTACTACATCATAAATGGGTATAGCATTCCGTTGGATCAAATACATGATTATTGGAAAAAGTTAGATATTCAGTTTCCAATATTTCCTAATGATGCCGCGGATGGATCCCCGACTCCACCAAATCTAGTGAGGAGGGCATTGTTCGAAGAAGTCCCTGATATTACTACACCTCCTACTGCTAAAAAAGAAAACCAAGGGTAAAAAGCTATCTAGTCTCCGTGTACCTTCGGCGTGGGAGAGGGTTGTGAAACAGTACAAATTTAAAAAGTCTCTAAACAAAAAGGTAATACTACATAACTTATGAATTTCTATATTTGAAAATTATGATTTATATTAGTTACTAATTTATTATTCTCAATTTAACATTGTCAACCTATGCATTTGTAAAGGGCCCTGGACGTGTTGCTTCTATCTCTGAATCACAGGGGAGTCCAATGAGCACATTCCAACGTACGGGGCCACCAGTATCACCATCTTCTCCAAATCCTCCATGCTCAAGGCCTCCAATGTCAACCCCTTCTTCCAAAGGCACCACGTTCATCTTTAAGAATTCTGTATTTGAGAGAGAATTCCCGCCCTACATTAGAAAATACATAGATCAATGCACAGATGTAGCGGCAGACGGAAATTGTGGATTTAGAGCGGTGGCTCTAGCAATTTATGGAACAGAAGATGATTGGGTTAAAGTTAGACAAGACTTAGTAGCAGATCTACAGAATAGAAGCGCCTTGTACGCTCGAATCTTAGGTGGGAGGAGTGCGAGGAGTTCTAATGTGACTAATCTCATCCAATCGATTGCTCACTACCATGGACCAGCGGATGATGATTACTGGATGGCGGTATCGGATTGCGGTCACGTAATTGCAACAACATATAATGTTTTTTTCATGACATTCAGTGAACATGGAGGAAATACTTGTCTGCCAGCGATATTAGATGAAACACAAGGACCTCCAACCCGAAAGGTGGTGTGCGGACATCTTAGCAATGATCATTGGATTTTGGTAAGAAAATTACACTAGTCGACGATCATATAAACAAGTTGAATTTTAACTTTAATTTTTTATATAAGAATATAACTTCAATATTTGTACATTTTTTTCCAGTTGCATATGAAACCAGGGGATCATCCGGTACCACCCATAGCATTTTACTGGAACGACCATCACGACAAATCTGCAGATGGTTTAGATGCACAATTTGCATTCTCGATCAGTCACTTTAACCGTCTCCACAATGAAGATGGAGAACGTCGAGCATCAACAAGAAGAAGAAAGAACAATTAATTAGGATCGAAAAAAAATTGATGTATTTCGTTGAGTAGATTAATACTTTGATTTTCTAATAAATTTTATTATTATCCTTCATTATAGTCTAACACTTCAAACATTTTAAACACTTAAACAAATTTTATTAACGATTTTAAAAATTCAAATTATATTAAAATTAAACCAACATTTATATATGTTCTAAAAAAAATTAATTTTTTTAATAACACTTCAATGATTTTTTTATGACCCACGGATTATAAACCGACACGGATTATAGTCTAACACGGATTTTAAATACACAATTAAAATGGAATTAGTTAATAAAACAAAATAAAAAAATTTATAACCCACCGGACACGGTGTCCGGTGTCCGATTATGCTCAGCAGCGAAAAGAGGACTGTGGACTCAGAATTAATGAACCGAATTAATGAACCTTAATGAGAAGCATTTAATGGTCGATGTAAGCTTAATTAACAATAAAGGGCAATTTCGTCCATCCACCACCCAAAGTTACTGTTTGGGAGTGGATATAGTTGGACTCCTTGTAAAATAGATCATTCTCAATTTTAAACAAATATTATCTAGATTAGATTGAAGGAACATAGGAGTTTGTGGATATTAATCCCCAAAATATTCCATATTTTGAATTTGTCCCTCAAATCATTCAAAATAGCTATTAAATTCCTCAATTCTTAAGTTATTCTAAAATTATTCCTGTAAATCATTGAAATTACTATTAGATCCCTATTATCTTAAGTTATTTTGAAATGAATCCGTCCAATCAAGAGTAGAAGTAGTAATTACAGGAAAATTGGTTCAAAAAAATTACTAAACTTTCTATTAGCTACTTCAATGCTCATAACTTGTTTCAAATTAATCCTTTCAATTTCTAGTTCTACCATTGATTTGCTAATTTAAAAATGGGTGACCAATAAGCAAATTTGGAGATGCGAGGGACTCATTTGAAAATTGGTAAAGAATTGAGGAACTTAATAAAAAATTCCCAAAGATTTGAGGGTCTGATTTCAAAATAGGAATAAGGGACTAACACCGGAAAGAGCCAGCAGAGGGACTCGGAACTCACTGTGGTATTTTAACGAATGAAAGCTAATATCACAGCCATTAGTTAGGATCGATGATATCAAATGATACTGCATCGAGCGGATCCGTTTCATACAAGCTCTCAGTTTGACCATTTCTAATCGACGACCAGTAGAGTTTTCAAAGATAAAACATTACTCAGGGGAGGACTTGATGATGGCAGAGGATGAAAGCATGCGATGTGTTCAACATGGTGGCGCTTTATTTTTTATATATACATATATTTTTTATTTTTAAAGGATGCGATGTGTTCAACAATGGTGGCGCTTCCTCTCTTTTTTTTCCTTCTCACCTAAATTTCGCAAGATCTCACATTCACGAAGCAAAGTCGCCACCCACGAAACACCGACGAAGCCGGTTATTGTTTGATGATGATTACTTAAACACATGAGATTTGTGGGATGTTGGAGTTGTTGATTTTCTATTGAATTATTAAATTAATTTATTAAGAGGATAGATTAGTAACTTGTAAAAAGACTTCATTAACTTGAATGAATATTCTTCGTTGATCCTTTTGAGTAAAATTGAAAAAATGGGTGAATGAAGCACTTGTTTGTTGGTTTGTTTGGGGGGTTGGGTTCTTCTTTTTTTTTTGTGATGGTTACATATAGAAAAACCCCTAAAAGAAAAGAGAATTATAATTCAATTAAGATTGCGAAATATTTGGTTACACTTAATTAAAATTTTCTAATTATGTATAGATTTAATTTGATGATGAAGGTGAATATAGGATTATGTGTCTACATGTCAATCTTCTGATAGGATAATGTGTTCACGTTGGCAAAAAGGAATATGACATGTTGCATTGTTTTATGCGCTTAGGTGCCATTGTTTTGTTACTATAGAGTAATTCACTAATTTCTCATTATTATATATAAAAGAGGGATATCTTCATCCAGATTTCATAAGATTTGTTGTTAAATTTGTATGACATGCTTATTCCCTTCATTGTTAAATTTTTATCATTGTTTTCTGCTTCTTCCCTTCAATTGCTACTAGAAACATTGAGTTTGTTTAGGTCCCTAACAACTAGGTAAATTAGAAGTATCAAAGTGTTAAAAATATTTTGAGGGTATCAAAGAGATAAGAAGCGGTAAACTTTGAGGTACTAAAGTGAATTATAAGTAAGCCTTGAATACATCATAAAACAAATTGTCCCAAGTTTCAGAACGCGGTGGTTGATTGTAAGTACAGTTATAAGTTATAACACAAGTTATGTAATTATATTTGTTGTTTGTTGTAATTAAATTTGTTTTGTTTTCTTTTAAAATTTTGTAACTTGGTAATAACATAATGTTCTTCATTATCAACAAAATCGAAGGAAAAAAATAACCTATTTACTTTTTGGAGTAATTATAATTTACGAAACACACTATATATAAAAGGCAAGACTTTGACGCATCAAGTATACCTAGACTACAGAAATTAGGATTTGATGACTTGAAGAGGAAGAAGATGCCAAACGAGCAACTAGACTACTGTTTTAGTATATGTTTTAGTATGTAGTGTAACTAGTCGTGAACGTCATGCAAAGCATGACATATCATTTTTTTCTCGCTATAGTAATCCCGATTTTTATGCTACAGCAATTTTTTTAAAATTTTCACCTTGCTACAGTTCCCGTCTCTGCTATAGTTTTTTAAAATGTTACGGTATTCTCGTGTGCTACAACGATTTTTTTAAAAAAACGCTACAGTATCTTATTTGCTACAGTAATAATGCTACTTTAACATGAATAGTGAATCTTGGGTTCTCTCATTTGTATAGAGGAGTCGATAATGTGACTCGCGGCTTATGATTTTATCGATAAGATATATTATTATTTGTGTATTATATTCTATTAAGTTGAGCTTATTAAGATCAAAATATTATCCTTTATAGAAGTTCATTAAATTTTTTGAAAGTAATATTTAACGTTATTTTGTGTGAATTATCTCATTAATTTTGGTTACTTAAAATTAGTTTATTATTATTTTGGGTAAATTACACTAAAATCAATGAACTATCAATGTTTTGCAATGAAACCCCAATAACTTTCGAAATCACACTGAAACCTGCAAGAACTTTCAAAATTGCAATTCGACCCTCAATAGTTTTTGCAAAAAAACCCCAAAAATTGATATCATTACATCTAACGTGGCACGTGAAACCCACATGACTTAAAAAGATCAAAATACTCCTTAAATTATTTTAAAAAAACTCCTTATGTCCTTTTTTATATTTTTCCATCCTAAAATAAAAATCTCTCATTTTTGTCATTTGTTTTCCTCTTGCTCGCGCCCATCTTGGGGTCCTATTCCTTAATAGTTTTTTGGCTGAAATTTTCCGACTATTTGTGTTGTTTTTTTCTAATTTATGGTGTTTATCTGTAAAATGCAAAAATTTATTGGGTGTTATCCGCAATCGTATAAGTTATTGGGGTTTTCGTGTGATTTTTTGATAGTTATGTTGAAGATCCTAACCATTACACTCACACAATAGTGTTAATTTTGTAAAAATCCGCTATGAATTCATGATTAGTGGGATCTAAACCTTTATGGGGAGAGTTGATGGTGGGTTCAATGTGATTTTGGAAGTTATATATTAGGGGTTTACTAAAAAAATGTTGAAAATTAATGTGGTTTAGTGTAACTTACTCTTATTATTAGAGATAGATGCTGAGAAATTCCGCAAGATCATTTCACAACAATCTTTCTTCGATCTTCTGTCTTTTTCCTCTATTCATATACCGACTATTACTAGACTTTACATAAAAAAATCAAAACCCTTTCTTGACATTAGTCTTATGCTTATTATTTTCGTACTCAAGAGATAAGTAGATCACAATG